GAGCAAGTGGGTAGGAGTTGTGTGGGAGCAATGAAGTAGAAAGAGAAGTGTCTGAACTGCTCAGAGGGAAAACAAACATCTCACAAAAAATGAAAGCAGGACGATGCACAAACACAAGGTAGAACTGGATTGGTATAAGAGATCACCTTCTCTCTACGAGGGAGAACCTTGAGTAAAAGACCAGACACAGTAAAGCAGCAAGATATTGAAATATCAGTGTTGCCAAATTACCATACGTAATATCATCAACTAGATGATAAGGTGATAGAAAGCCCTATGGAATATCTCTGATAGCCCTTTTCCCAGTATGTAGCTATCTCAGGAAGTTGCAGGGATAAAAGATATCATCCCTCCCCATATATGAATACTTCATGACAGATGCTATGCTGTATCAAGGCGAAAATCATATAGAATTCGGTTGATTTCATTTCCCTGGTTCAGGTGAGACAGTAGTGAAAATGTTTGGCATTAGGAGCATACTGCCTGCATTTTCACAGTGAAGCTGGTTCTTTTTCTGCATTTTTTCCCTCTTTTTATTAAGAGATTGTTCTACAGGAAACACATTTTATTTCCTCAAGGTGGCTAGCAGGATGTGTTGCTCCTTTGCAGGCAATACCTTTTATCCTGTTGCCTGTTTTCAGGATACTGGCCACACTTAATCCTGCTGCTGTGAACGACAAGGTACTAAAGCATTTCTAGAAGAGAATGAAATACAACTAATACTTTTTTATGATCCATGATTTTATACTACTTTTCTCTGAAACAGATCAAAGACAATGTAAGGTGAAAAAACAAATATCTTTTGCAAGGGCAGACACACATGAAATGTGAGATTCGGTTTAAGATAGCTAAATATAGTACATATGTGGTAAGTCCTTAAGCTTGAAGTCAGTGGGTACCTAATCAGTACAGACAATAAGGCCTTAAAAGCAATTCAACTTGCTCTAGATACTTCTTAGCTGGCCATCTGATTCAATCTCTTGCCCTTAATGATTTTAATGGGAAGTGGACATCCAGAAAGAATGTAGACTTCTAAATGCAGGGATCTTAATCTGAGACCTATTCCTGTCCAGTGGCACAAGATTCAGACATCTCAGAAGTTAAGATTCAAGTGCTACTACTTGGTATTACCACTCTACAGCTCTTACTTCACCTCATCTTTTTCCTTTATACACATTTTTGACTTGGTGCAGTCTCGTAGGAAATCATTAAACAGAAAAACAATGCCAGAATAGCAATTCATAGAGCAACATGCTATAACTTATTCTCTGTAAATTGTGCATCAAGCCTCAAAATTCTGCTGCTAAAGTTGTGTCTGTAAACTATACATTCACTATATACCTCTTTTCTGAGATCTGTACTGCTTTCTATCAGCCAGGCCATGTGTGCAATGTGTGGCCATTTGCTGTGGTTCTTGGAAATTGTTTGTGCTCATGCAAATGACTTTTGGTAAACAGCACTGATTTCCCATTGCTATTTTAATATGTTCTTTAGCATTGGAAGTAGAATTTAAAATTGCAAGAATGGTGTCAAGGAGCATTCCATGTCATTTACAGTAGAGACCATATTTGCCTAACAGATGGAGAACCTGGGGTTAGTTCAGAGTTCAAGCAGCCCCTGAATCTAGTCTTGGTCCAGACTCCTTGCCTGGCTTTAAACAAATCTATTAACATAATGGTGGCTCATTGCCACTGCCATAAAATGGAGTTAATAGTTCCACTGGTATTTAGAAATGTTTTTCAGGGGTTATACACATCTGATTGAAAAGTTAATGTGTGTACACAGCACCCTAACAAAGCCTTGATGTCACTGGGTAATCAAAATGTTATTCAGTACTATTTACCATATACTTAATAGCAGGGCAACATCAGAGAGAGGAACACTGTGTTGTACTGATGAACATACAATGCTGATGTGTGCATTATTATGTTTTAAAGACATTCAGAAGTGAAAAGGATAATGTTTAATTTGGAGATAACTCACAAGAGTATAATGAATTATAGCAGGAAGGAATCAGCATTAAAAAGTCTCTTTTTATGGGGAAAAAAAATCACTTTTCATAAATGTAACAATATAAATCAATTTTTGAAATGTTTTTTGCCATTTGAAAGAGCATTTTCTATTATTCTTCCATTTGCCTTCAAGGTTTATATATGATTCCATTTGTCTCCCTGCAAATAAGCACTTGTATTATCAGCCTTCTTTCTGAGTTAAGTTAAACATTTCCTGTCAATTGACTGAAAACAAAAAAAAATCTACCACTGCTTTTCCTAAGGTTTTAGCGTTTCATTGAGTAAATCTCCACCATTATTTATCCTATGGTGCCACCTGGTGGCACTGAGAAAAATGTGCCATTTGAGAAATATAAACTCAATTTTCTACGTTTCCAGGGGGTCAAAACCTCAGCACAATCTTTCATAGTTCCTCTTGGAGGGTGTTGCACAATGCCACATAAAGTGAGAAGGTATAAAAGCGAGGCAGAAAGGTCATGGATATTGTCTGGGCCTTGCAGCCTGACTATGGGGCTAATGTATGCGCCCAGAGGGTCACCCAAAGACAGTGCCTATTTGCTGCTTTGTGGGTCTAACTAATGGATTTCCATTCTATTTAAGGTATATTTATAGGCATCTTCCCAAAGGTGAATAGAGACATTTCTCAACTAGTCAGCATTTTGCCATGCCAACAGCACAGGAATGAATTAGGAAGATGCTGTGATTCTCTTCTTCTACACTGGATGTTTTGAAAACTAAAGCACCTTGCCCAAGGCCACAAATAATGACACAAACAGAATCAGGAATTAAATCTAGGTCTCCAAAGTTTAAATCATTTATTCTGCTTTCTGTCTGAGAGAAATTTAACCAAGCCAGTGTTAATTCAAAATATTAGCTTGGCAAGTACTATTGGTCTGTGGTAAATCAGATTTGTCATGTTTTGAGAAACGACGGGTAAACTACTTCAGCAAGGAAATAAACGTTTCTGAAGGATAAGACAAGCAAAAATAAACAGAGAGAATCAGACCTATTCTGTGCATCCATTATAAAATTAAGGGATCTGGCACCCTTTACCAGACAGTGGTCTAAGATTTATCACTCTTAGATTGGCCTGTGCATGAAATTTGTTTTGTTTGAGCATGGAAAAAATGGATTCATAATACTTATTTGTGACTAAATAAGTCAGCAGTGCCTGACTTGGTGATTGCCTGGGGATATGCATGCACTCTGATTTAGTAATAATTTCCATCCCTCTCTGCTCAATGAACAAATAAACTACTCTTGCATGACAAGTAAATGCTGTGGCAACACTGGTAGGTTTAATTAGAACTTAGGGAAAACACTGCTGCAAAACAGACCAATTGGAATTAAAAATTCAACTTAGGCAGTATCCCACAGTGCTAAATATATGCCTGCAGAAAAATAAAATAAAATGGTTTTCTAAATTTTATATGAGCTTCTGAATGTACTGTGAAAGTCTCTGATCTCATAGTACTTTTTATTCAACTTTCTTGTGCTGCACCTAGCTAAAGAAAAAAATAAATTGTATGATTGTCCTGAAGAAATTTCCCTTTCTTGGATCCCTTGTGTATGTTATTGTTGGTACAGGCATTTGTCTTCCTTAGCTTTCCATAATGGTAATTTTATAAGACTATCTTAGTTTTCTTGTAGTTACAAATCTTCTACTTTAGAATTTCTTTATGGCATTGTACAATTTCTACTTCAAGGAACAAGTCTAGATAAAATACATAATTTTAGATTACTGTATCCCTTTGTCGTTAACTGATCAGATTTTCTGTATATCAAGAAGTGGCACCAGACACTTTTTCATACTGGAACACTAAGTGGAAGTTAAATTTCACTATTCACATAAGACATACCCAAGGAATGTAGGAAAGTCAGTTCCAACTGCTTCATGAACTGACCAGGAAACTGACACATAGTTAAGTCACAACCCACCCAGCCTGCAGCAATCTTCTTTCCCTGCCACTAACCCAAGTGCAACTAAGGATGCAAGATGCACAGGGACAGAAAGTACAGCAATGGGAATGAGCGTGACACTGCAGCCTGGTGCATCAGTCTCTCCTCTGGGATGAATAATTCCTGGGTTTCAGTTCTTCTCCTTAAGGCTATTCATGTAATTCAAATGAAACAGCTCCGATTTTATCAATTTAGTATAGATTTTTTTTTTTCTTTTTCCCTTTGTGTAAGGCAATATAATGTGAATGGATGCTTTACTTAAATGTATTCTCAAGGATTTTATTGCCATTCAAAGTCCTTTATGTTCAGTTGTTTCACTGAGATGTTCATTTACTTGACAAAGTCTGATACAAAAATGCTCTGTTTCTGAACTGCACGAAATTAACAAATACTTGAAGAAAAAAATTAAAGTTTGCTTTTGGGACCAAATATGCAAAATATAACCTAAGGCTACAAAGCCTTTTATCCTATAAAATTTGAAAATAAATTTCAGAGCAATCATCAGATTCATAAGAGGCTGAGAGATAATTATAAACTAATTAATCTCCTGGTACTGGTAGTTGCTAAGTAGTTTAGTGCACACTAGATGGCACTCCCTGCTTGAGTGATTTCATGCAACTACTTCTGATCAAAGAAATGCTAAAATTAGAAAATATTTTCTGACTCAGTAGTGCATTTTGGGCAATATAGAACTGGATAATGGGTTAAACCAGGAGGTGCTGACCTCTGCACTTCATTTATGTCCTCATTAAGGTTGTCATACTATAAGTAATAGTAAGAAGAGAAAAGTCTCGCTATGATGTGGGAACAGCTAACATCATGAAAAACAAATGGTGGAAAAAAAAAATAGAGCAAATAAGCAGAATATTAATAAGCAGAATATTCAGTGATGAACTGTTTTCAACGTGGATATCAGACACTGGAAACCATAAAGGCTTCATGAGGCTTTCTTTGTTGTTTCTTTCTTGCAGCAAAGACAAAAAAATAAGATTAGGCAATCAGTCAATAAAGCCCAAAAGAAATACTTACAGACAAAATCTGATCTCCTCTCTGCAGTTCTCCACTGAGATCAGCAGGCCCGCCTGCTAAGATGAATGACACGAAAATGCCTTCCCCATCTTCTCCTCCCACAATGTTAAAGCCAAGTCCAGTGGACCCCTTGTGGAGGATGATTTTTCGAGGCTCTCTGTAGAGAAACAAAATGGTAATGTTTATCCATTCAAAGGTATTCAAAGACATACTACATTTTGCTAAAGGAACAATGGCCTGCTAATGCCTAAAGAAACTATAAATTTGATAAATCTGTTAATTGGAGAATGGCAACTAAGTAGCAGCCTTTTTTTTTCTCCTCATGGTTGAATCAAAACTTCTTTATTAATACCATCCAACTGAAGTAATCCTCAGTAAGTTAAATGAGGGATTCGTTAAAAATAAAGCCAAAACACTAAAGATATTTTATAGCCTCCTTTCTAGCAATGCTACATATCAATCAAACTTTACAAGATACCTTTTTTTTTCTTTGAAGTTCTAAATGAATAAAGAAAAAAATCAAACATCTAAACAAAGTAACGAAGTTGTTTTAAACTTGGCAGATTTGGATCAAATGAAGTTAGCAGTAGAAGTGAATCTCACAAAAAACTCTGGTGTGATATTATCAGGAACTTGCAATCATAAAATTGTGCAGAAGTTTTATCACTGAAGCAGACAGAAGGATATCTGCTTTTCTGTTACTGGTTTAAAAAACTGTTGATTATAATGGAAATCTGTAAATAATAGCAAGATCTTATTCAACACTTTACATTTGTAAACTGATACTATGATAAAAGGATGTTAATATAATAATATGCATTTTGTTTTCAGCAAATTTTAGTTCCAGAGGAAGGAGAGAACTCTCGTAAGCATTCAGTGTAGTGTACTCATGAAAAAGTGCCCCATGTATCCCAGCTCTCCCACTCTCCATGTAGCACGACTGGGGGATCAGGCCCTGTAGCTGGGGCTCAGGTAAGGGATATCTCCAGAAAAATACCTAGCCTTGTATGGCTGTCAGACCACAACCCCTTACTGCTTTTCCATATACAGAAAGAAAAAGCAGCTACTTATGGGTCAAGGGTTTTCAAAAGGGACTTCAGAGCCTCTGGTGAATGGCTAAAGGAATTGCATGCACAGATCATCTTTTCTTCTCTGCCTCCTGTATTGGTTAAGGACATGAAAACAAATAAAAGGATTTTATCTTTAATTACCTGACTTTGTGGCTGGTGCCATCACCACAACTTTGCTTTTCCTGACAAAAAATGGCCTACATGGCAACTAGTTCATAGGGTGGGTTTTGCCTTTCTCAAAGAGGGAGAAGAGTCCTTGGGGAAAAGCTAGCAGGGCTCATTAAGGAGAGCTTTAAACAAGATGTGAAGGAGGAAGGGGGATAGTGAGCCTTCCTATGATAAGGTGTGGGATGGCATCACAAGATTAGAAGGATAGGGTGCTAGCAGAAGCCGTGAAGGACCTGCTGCCTTGAGAGGTGCTGGCAACACTGCAGCACATACAAAATCCTGTGATGATGAGACAGTGACTGTGGGGGCAATAGGAAAAGGTAATGGGGAAAATCAAAGGAAGTAACTTAAAAGAAGTTAAGGAGCTAACATTCAAGGGCTTAACAAAAACAACTGCCTCACTGAAGTGCCTCTGCATGAATGCATGCAGCTTGGGAAACAAACAGGAGGAGCTGGAAGCTACTGTGCTACTAGAAAACCACAGTATAGTTGCTGTCCCTGAAACCTGGAGTATGGCTAGCGATGGTGACCAGCTATTCAGAAGGGACAGGTGAGGAAGGACGGGAGGGGATGTTGCTATCTACATCAGGAAAGGAATAGAATGTGAAGAGCTGTCCCTAAAGAATAGTCATGAGTAAGCCAAAAGCCTATGGGTGACAGTTAGAGATTGAGGCAGCAAAGGGAGCCTTGTGGTTTGTGCCTACTGCAGGCTATCCCGATCAAGCGAAGCCTGTTGATGAGGCCTTCTACCTCCAGCTACAGGAGGCACCATGATCACAAGTTCTTGTCCTTCTGGGGGACTTCAACCACCCAGACATCTGCTGGAAAAGTAGCATGGTGAGCTATAAGCAATCAAAGAGGCTCCTGGAATGCACTGAGGATAACTTCCTGAGTCAAGTAATAGATGGCCCCACCAGGTGAGATGCAACACTGGTACCCCATGGTACCAGTACCCAAGGTACATCCTTTGCTCCAAATTGGAAAGATATGGATTTGATGGGTGGACTGTTCAACAGATAAAGAATTGGCTGCAGCATCGAGTCTAGAGTGTAGTGGTCAATGCCTGAATGGAGAGCAATGATGTGAGCTGTCCCCTAGGGATCAGTGCTGAGACCTTTAACATCTTCATCAGAGACAATGACAGTGGGGCCAAGTGCACCCTCAGCATGTTTGCTGATGACACCAAACTGTGGTGTACAGTCAACACACCAGACAGATGGGATGCCATCCAGTGGGGCCAAAACAGGCTTTAGCAGTGGGCCCAGGTGAATCTCATGAGATTCAGCAAATCTAAATGCAAGATCTTGCATCCGGGTCGAGGCAGCCCTTACTACCAATATAAGCTGGGGGATGAAAGGACTGAGTGTAGCCCTGCAGAGGAAGACCTGAGGGTACTGGTGGATGGGGATCTGAACACGGGCCAGCACTGTGCCCTCACAGCCCAGAAAGCCAACTGTACCCTGGGCTGCATCAAAAGCAGTGTGGCCAGCAGGGCCAGGGTGTGATCCTGCCCCTCGGCTCTGTGCTGTGAGACCTCATCTGGAGTAATGCATCCAGATGTGGAGTACTCAGTGCAGGAGAGATATAGACCTGCTGGACTGCATCTAAAAGAGAGCCACAAAAATGATCCAAGGGTTGGAACAGCTCTCCTATGAAGGCAGGCGGAGAGAGCTGAGCCTGTTCAGCCTGGAGAAGAGAAGGCTTCTAGGTGACTTGATAGCAGCCTTTTGATACTTAAAGGGGAGCTACTGAAAAGAAGGGGATAGACTCTTTAGCAGAGTTTGTGGTAACAAATGGCATCAAGCTTAAAGAGGGTAGATTTAGGTTGGATAAGAAGAAAAAGTATTCTACAGTGAGGGTGGTGAGGCACTGAAATAAGCTGCCCAGAGATGTGGTGCATGCTCTTTCCCTGGAGATTTTCAAGGTGAGGCTGAATCAGGCCCTGGAGAACCCGATCTAGCTGTGCATGTCCCTGTTCATTGCAGGGGAGTTAGACTAGATGGCCTTCAATGATCCCTTCCAACTCTGAGGATTCAATTATTCTATGATTCTGTGACTCAGATTTGTCTCTCTCTTGGACACCCAAGCACACAAGTATATTAATGTATATAGACACAATGTTTATTCATACTTGCCCAATTTTTAATCCCTCTAACAATTTACCCCTCAGAAAAAAAATATAGAAATTATATGTGTGAATCTTAGCTCAGTCCTGTAAACACTCGTATGCATTTACATCTGTGATTCCTCACAGAGAAAAAGAATATTCTAATTTTTACTTATTACAAATAAAATGTAGCAGAAAAGGGACAAGTACAAACACTCACACATACAAGACCAGAAGAGACATGCTCTGGAATGCTTTCTGTAAATTATCCAATACTTCCTGTGTACTATATCATGTTTTGATAGAATACCAATTGCTTTTTCATTTCTGTTTTGTTTAAAAATAAAAGGAAAAAGGAAGGAGAGAGAATAGTGATGCACTGAGGAGCACCTGATGTTGTTAAGTTGAACAGCTTTTATATACATATGGCAACTTTATCTTTACAAGATAATTCCAAAAGCAGTAGGGGTTTCTTCAGTTTTGTCTAATGCTAATGCTCAAACAGTATCTCCATTTTGATTGTGATCTTTAAATAAGATCTCAACTTCCTGATCTCTAGGCTTAATATTTTTGAAAGACGAAACAAAAGCAAATTTTTGATAATATCTTTAAAAGGAGATTGCAAGTGTTCTTCCAAATTCAAGTGGGCCTTCATTTTATGTCTTCTTAACATTATACAGTGAGAAAACAAGTATAAAAAGATACAGGTTTGAGAAAATGACATAGTGTCTTGACTTTGCATATTCTTCAAAAATTTTCTACCAACCAAATAAAAAAAGGGGGATTTTTTCTTTTTTGCATCATTGCTGTTGATGTGCCTTGTAGCAACACTTTTATTACCTCCTTAACTGTGCACAGATTAGAATGCAATCCAAATCTAAGAAGTATGAATAGATTTTTAATTAAAAAGGGTGTCCTGGGGGATGGAATGGAACTAGGACAGTTAGCTGGGAGTGCAGAATCCTTTCCCACTTAGTCCACAATTTCCAGTTATCTTGGCAAGTCATTTGTTCTATCAGATTCAGTTTTCTCATCCACAAAATGAAATGGTGACACTTGTCATGTTGAGTCCAACAGACTGAAAATACTTTGAGAGAGCTGAGCTACTGCCAGTATTATTCACCTAGGTATTGAGGACAAAGAGGCAGTAAAGCCAAACAAATATATCTGCATGCTCCACTGGTAAGAAATTAGAGCTCTGTTCAGAATGAAACTGAGTATTTCTATGTGTGAGAGGCAGCTTGCACCATAAAGTTGAAGGCCAGTGCTATGGCAAAACTAGGTCAATACAACTGGGTATCTACTGAATACTAAGCTGTGCAACTCAACAAAAAGTTGGCCCAGTTATTAATCCCTGCCTCTAATCAAGTCAGCAGATTTATGCCTAAAATGCTGTCAGTGCTGTTTTGTAATTCTGGCCTTTTGACAGCAAAATTCACTTTGTGCTCTTGGATGATTATGCTCAGAAGAAGCTCAGACAGTAATGGGGAAATGTCAGAATCTGTGATTAGAACAGAAAGGTTTTGGATCCTGTCCTTAGCCAAAAGAGGTTGTTTTGGTCATAACTCAAATTTGGCTGTACAGAGACTATCAGCCATAAGATTACTTCACATGTCTTTCATATTAGAGTATCTTGTGGAATCTGGAAAGTGGATTCAAGAATGCACAGGTGTAGTCATAAAAACAATGATCATAGGAATAAATTTTGTCATGACTATGCTTTAAGGTAGACGGTATGTACCAATCATATGCCAAATACAGTATATAGTATAGTATTTACTATATAGTAAATATAGCATAACAAATAACTAG